GGAGAGATGGGCGCCGAGAGGGGGGGGGGGGGCACCTGACCAGCCCCTTGCGCCCGGCCCGGCCCTTACCACCGGTGCTGCTGCTGCTGCTGCTGCCGCCACTGTTGAGTGGGGGTCGACCGATCGGCGCGGCGGCCGGCCCCGGCCCGAGGCCGGCCGAAACTAGACACCCAGGGCGGTCCTTCCCATCTCGGTGGGCGCCGGGTGCGATAGCCACGCACCTGGAGCAGGGCCGGGGCCGCTGGGGCATGCTGGTCGAGCGACGCGGGCCCGTGTGTCGCATACGGGGCGCCCTGCGCGCCTGCGCCTCCCCCCTGTGGCCCCGCTCCTGCTGACGTATTACTCCCCCTGCCGGGAAGGAGGCCCGTGCGTGCCAAGGGTGGCGGTAGCGCCGAATTCAAATCCGCCAGCCCAAAACCGGCCACCACAAAACGGCCGGTCACGGGATCCCGCAGATCGCCGGTCCCCGGCAGCCTGCGCGGCGACCCCCCGGAAAAGACCTTGGCGTGCAATCTCCTCGGCGTCCGGCCAACGGGGAGGGGAGAGCTCGCGCAGCGGCTCGCCCCCCGCCTCCCCCCCCCCCTGGTTCCGCGGGAATGGGCAACACCGGTCTCGGGCGGCCCGATGTATGCGTGTCTTTTTCAGATCGCCCCCTCTTGGCGCCCGGCTGGCAGCCCAACTGTAGCTAGCCACAGCTCCCTCCCCTCCCCTGCCCGCCTGACCGATTGCTTCGCCTGCCCCCCCCCCCATTTCCTCGCTGCCATGGTGCGCGGGCCTTCGCCCGTTTTCCCTCCCCCCCCCCTTCCTGCATACTGCCGGTCTCCATCCTGACCCTCTCTGTCCTCCCCGCGCGGAACGCAGTCTGCCCCCAGCCACAACAACATCACCGACGAGGAGATCCGCGGTACCGACACACCCGCCCCGCGCATGGCCGCCTCCGCCCGCCCCCGCCCCCCGGACCCCGGCGGGCCCTTCCCTTGTGCTCTCCTTTCTCTAACCTCTCGCCCGCAGAGTATTTCCTCCTTGTCGACATCAACAACACCGGCGTCGTCTCGGGCGACAAGCTGGACACGCTGGTCCGCGCGCTCGGCTACGTCCCCCGCCCGGGCGAGATTCACAGTATGTGCCTCGGCGCCGCCCCCCCCTCCCCTCCTCCTTCCCACCCCTCCTGGCTTGCTCCCACCCTTGGCGCCGTCTCTGACCCTGGGTCCGCTGGACCCCTGCCCAGACTTTGGCTCTCTCACGCTCGAGGAGGCCTTGGTCAAGATCCCCCGCACCCGGACGGTTTTCTCCAAGAACAACATCCTGGAGGCCCTGCACATTCTGGGCATCGACGAGAACTCCGCCGTGAACACCACTGTCCTGCGGAACCTGTTCACCAGCGTGCGCCCCTTCCTGCCCCCTTTGCTCCCTGCTGCCTCTCTCTCTCTCTCTCTCTCTCTTCCCTCCCGGCCAAGGGGAGGGCCCTGCGTCATCTCCTCCCGCACTGACACAGCCCGTCGCCGTATCCCTGCAGGTCGGCCAGCCCCTGACCAACCAGGAGGTCGAGGAGCTGTTCTCCTCTCTCCCGGTCACTAACGGCCTTGTCCTGGCCAAGGGTATGTCCCCCCCCCCCCCACTCTGCCCCTTTCCCCGTCTAGGCTCGGATAGTCACTGACCTTGGGCCTCCTTTCGATGGGTGTTCCCCCCTCCCCGGTCGCCAGACCTCGTCGAGATCCTCGGCGTGTGATGGGATCTTCTCTCTGTCTTTTTCTACGCCTCCCCCCGCCGCGCGCATAGACGTGCATTGTATCATAAAAACACATCCGCCCCTCTTCCCGCCGCGTGTCTTTTCAATTGCTAAGTGGAAAAAAAGGGGGGGGGGAATGGCAGAGCAACACCCACACCTCCGGATCGCCGAGCTTCCCGGCAACGGCAAAGCCACAGGCGACCGGCGAGGGGTAGGAGTGCCTGCGGCAAAAATTATACCCCTGGGATGTCTTGATGGCCATCCCAGCATGTCGAGTCCACTGACCGGGTCTCGGGTGGCTTGCTGGAGCGCGCACTACCACCAGCACTCCGCGACTGGGCGGGGGTCCCCCCCCCGTCCTTCCCTCCGCCCGGCTGTGGGGGGGAAAGGAAGACGAAAGGGGCCCCCGATCATCGGGGAGGGGCAGAGGGCCGCGAGAAGCACGTACGCGCGCCGAGAAGCAAACGCACGCGCCAATCATCCCGATCGCACGACACTCCGGGGGCTGGATCGCGCTCGGATCTCATCAGGACTGGGCATGCACGCGCACGCCCTCCCTCTGGCAGGAAGCCGCTGGGAGGGGGGCATGTCATGCCGCAAATCGCAAGGGTCCCTCCCCTACCCTGGCCGCACAACCGGCCACCGACACACGTCATCGTGTGCCTGTCCGTGCACATACATACACACGCACGCGCGCATCCTGGTACACGCGCATCTCCGCCCGCCATCCTCGGCCATGCCATCCTCGCGAGTTCGACGCGGTGCCGACCGCCCACAGCATGTTGCCAGCACCGAAGGGCGCCCCAGGGGGGGCGCCTCCTAAGGGGGCCGCCATGACCGGCCACGACCGGACACCCGCCGCATCTGATTGCCAGCCACAGTGGCAGCCACAGCAAGGGTCAGGCTGGGACAGGTCCGCCACCCTCCCGAGGGGGGAGGGATAAAGAGGAGAACACAGCCCCGGTGACACACTTGCCAGAGGGCGCCAGGTGTGGTTGATAGTCAAAGGCGGTTGGGTAGGATGCCAGCCATTTGGCCATGGTGCGGCCGGCAAAAAAGAAAAAACATGCGAGAGGAGGGGCAGGGGGACCACGCAGGCGGGGCACGGAGAGGACGGCGGGAGGGGGAGGAGCTGCACGCACACATGCAGAAGAGGGGGCAGGCATAAGCGCACACGACAGGCGACGGGTCGGGGAGGGAGAGGGGCAAACAGGGGGGGGGGAGGGAAAGCAGATGAGAGGAGGCGATGCGCCCGGCAGGGGAAGACAGCCCCGGAGCCGGACTCAGACATGGGCGACAAACGGCCAGGGCCCTTATTGTGTGCCGGCACCCCTGGGGCGGGTGGACCGCCCGCGAGTGGCGCTTATATACCCCGATCTAAGTCACATGTGTTCATCCGAGCAGCTGATCACGCTGGGGGATCATTGTGGGTCAGACCAATTCCTCGGCCCCCGCCTCGCGGTGGTGGGCCTTGCAACGCGGGCGGGGGGGGGGCTGGCTGATCCCACAAATGATTGGGCTGGCTGCTGGCTGCTGGCTGCTGGCTGCTGGCTGCTGGCTGCTGGCTGCTGACTGCTGGCTGCTGGCTGCCCCCCTCGCTCCCCCGCAATGTGCCCCCTCCGATCGGCCACCTGCGATCTGGGCGTCCTCGCGAGTCTCGCGTGCTTGATGGTGCCGATCTCCGCGGGAAATTCCCGCCGCCGTCAGAGGGGCTCGCGTCTCTGACCCGCGGATCCTGGAGAAGGGGGGAGGTTCCTTGTGTGTCTTTTCTTTTTCCTTCTGCGGTTGTGCCATCCTCCCCCGCTGGCTGCCCTCCCATCACCGGGCCCTCCCTTTGTTTGTCCCACCGAGCGGTCTCGCTCTGTCCTTGGCTCGGGAGCATGTGCCCCTTGCCCGTCAGGGAGGTAGGCCCTTGCCGGCGCCCGGCCGGGAGAATGCTGTCCCGGGGCATGCATGCGGCAGCCGTGGCGATCGTGGCCCTTTTCACGCGCCCCAGTGGGTGCCCTCCTTCATCGGGGAGAACCTATCACCATGATTCCCCATCCCCCCCTCGTATGCCCTCGCAGCCCTTTCCTCTTCCGCCTCCCCTCGTCCGAGCGCACGTGTAAAGCCACCGACAGACACGGGTACTCGCTCTGTGCAAGCCCCCTTTCCGCTTCTGGGACAACTGGCCCCGGATCCCCCTCCACTTCGCGCCACCGCCGAAACAGCCGCTGCCGAGTCCTCACCGGCGGAGACACACGCACCACCGCGCTGCCTCGATAGCACACACCCGCACTCGGGCTCCGATATTTGCCTCCCTCTTTTGGTAGCCAACTCTCGCACGCGCAACATCCACCATGTCACAGCCATTCGACCTCTACACCGCGCCCAACTACATCGAGGAGGGCAACATCGAGGCGAACCACATCTCCTCGGCTGGTGTGCGTCATGAGACCGGGGCTCTTCACTGCCCGGGTGTTTTTGCCCTTCCCCTTTTGCCCCCCCCCCCCCCCCCCCCCCCCCCCCTGGGGGCCTTCTCCCTGGCAATCGCTCCATGACCACTGATCAGCCACACCCCCGTCCTTCGGCCATCACGCGCGACCTTTGTCGAACACAATGTGCCCGCCGCTCGCCTGCTCTCTGGCTGCGTGCCGGGTGTCGGTCAATTGCTTGGGACATTTTGCGACGGCCGTGCCCGCGCCCCGCGCCCCGCGCCCCGCGCCCCGGGCCTCATGACAGATCCTGGACTTCCGCGCGGCACAGGCCCTCGTCCGTGCGCACCTCCGGTCCATCGGTGTGGTCAATGCCACGGGCCTGGTGCAGGATGAAGCATACTCCGGCGAGGCGCCCCACTACTCGGCCGGCGTCCTCATGGACGGTACTCGCTTGTATTATGACTTTGTGCCGGGGCCCGGGACCCCCAATGGCCCGGGGATCCTGACGACCAGCGTGCTGCTGTACCACTTCCGGCGCGTGCCCAGCGAGGCGGCCGTGGCGACCATCCGTCGCCGGGCCGAATCTTCCGTCGCCCTGGACGAGTGGCGCCGGGGGATTTACAGCCGCCTGGCTCGGGAGAACTTCAAGTTGACCATCCAGCAGCGTGAGCAGGTCCATGCCCACGGGCATGGCTATGGCAGCCGGCCGTCCAGCCGCGCCGGCAGCATCTCGCCCAAGCGCCGGCCGGTGGTGCCCCAGGTGGACCCGCGGAAGCTGCCGCCCATGGTGCTGACCTATGAGCCGACCAACTTGGGGGTGTACCTTTCGCGCCGGTGGGAAAGCGCCCCGTCGAGCGGGGAAATGGCCTTCTGCATTGCCACAGATGCCTTCGTGCAGCTGGCCCGCGCTCTGCGTGCCGAGGTGATCGGCAGCGAGGCCGGGGCCGGGGGCGCGCCGATCGTCGACCCCTCCGGCGTCTCCCGGTCGGCTGGCTTCCTCAGTGCGCCGGCCGAGCAAATTTCCCTCGCGCAATGGCAGGCCGGGGCCGGGGGACCGGCGGCCAGTGGCCCGGTGGTCGGGGCCCGCCGCGTGGACTCCCCCTCGCCGGTTGGCTCGGTGTCCCACGCCCCCGGCACGCACCATGGCCTTCGGCCGGATTCCCCCGGCGGCGGCATGAGCCGGCTGACGGCCCTGCGCCGGAAGCTGGCCCCCTGGCGCAGCAGCGACTCCAGGGGCTTCAAGCATGGCGGCGACTCGACCACCTTCCACCTGGGGGACCCCTCCTCGGTGCAATATCACTATGCCCGGGAGGAAGTCCCGCCGGGCAGCGAGGGCGCCCACCCCGGGGCCGGAGCCGACGCCTCGGGCGCCGGCGACGGCGCACAAGCCAAGACCCCGCGCATCCTGACCCCGGTGTCGCGCATGATCCACGAGAGCGTCGAGGCCAGCAAGCCCGGGCCGCCCCTGGATGTGCTGGCACGGCAAACATCCCCACGAGGCACGGCCTCGCCGCCGGTGAGCTTCGCCGGGCCCGGGCCCGGGCCCGGCGCCTCCAGTGCCGCGGTGTCCGCCTCGCCGGGTGTCCACATCGCGGGCGTCGAGTCGGCCACGCACCTCGGCCGGCCGGCCGCCGACAGCCCGGCTCTCGGGTACCCGGGTAGTGGTGCTGGCGGCGGCAGTGCCGGGCACCTGGCGGCCGGCGGTTTTCCCCCCTCTTCGTCTGAGGAGAATCTCGGCCTGCTGGGCCAGCCCTCTCGGCCGATCACCACCGAGCCCCGGCAAATGGCCGGCGGCCAGCCGGAGGGAAGCCACGACAGTCGTGCGTCCTGCCCCCTTTTCCTGCTGTGTATGGGCCCCTCGTCGGGTGGCGCCCGGTCGCGCGCGGTCCCCCCCCGCCCACGACGGGCCTGTGTCCTTGCATACTTGGAGGATGATTGCATGCCCGTGTGCCGGAATGCCTGAGCCCCTTTCTTTCATGTAGGTGCCCCCCCCCCCCCCCCACACGCCGCTGACCCTGACCGCTGCTGCATCCCCTTGCTCCTTGTGCGGGGGCGTCCTCCTCCAGTTCACGCGCTGAAGGCCTCCTCCTCGCATGACTCCTTCATCACCAAGCTGGCGTCGAAGCTGCCCCGCAAGCTCCAGGGCTCCCGTGCCAAGGAGCTGGCGGCCGAGGCCGGGGCCGGCGATGTGCACGGCGCCTCGGCGGCCGAGGGCAAGCGCAGTCGCTTCGCCTCGCCGAAGGTGGTCATCCCCCCGGGCCAGGCCCGGCCGACCGGGCTCCCGCTCAAGATCTACAGCAGCCACACCCCCTCGCGTGCCATGTGGGGCGGCTCGGATGCCGGGATTCCCCGGGCCAATGTTCGTGGTGGCAGCCCGGCCGGCGGGTCCCCATCCGGCCCGTCCACTGGCGGCCGCCAGCCGTGAGCCTGCGGCTGGCCCCCCCCGCCCCTCTGTCCCGGCCTCCGGTGGGTCTCTCGCCCGGGGCCGGCCTGCGAGGAGCTGGGGGGGGGGGGGGGGGCGAGGGAGAGTCTCGTGTTTTGTGACGGCCAACATCCTGGATGGGACATGGGGAGGATGTACCGGGGCGAGGGGCGGGGGGCGCTTGCATCGCTGCCTCTTTGCCCGCGGATGCCCACCCAGCTGTCTTCCGAGGAGGACCGCCGCCAGCCGCCGCCGCCGCCCGCGCCGGGGCCACACGCGTGCCAAGTTGCACCGTGTCAAGCGCGACCGCGCGAGGCTTCGGCGGGGAGGATCTCTCTCTCTCTCTCTGCCGCCACGGATATGCGCGGCGTGGGCGGGGCCGGATGGCGCGCGTATGTGGGTCCCATCCATGGACCGGCGTGTGCGTGCGGCCTCCCCCCCCCCCCCCCCCCCCCCCCCCCCCCCCCGCCCCCCCGCCCCCCCCCCCCCCCCCCCCCCCCCCCCCCCCCCCCCCTGTGCCCGGTTCGCCCCGTTAGAAGCGCCCCCCGCGGGGCTTCGGCGGGGGGTGTCTTTCCCTCCCCTCTTCCCCCCCCGGGATGTCGCCGCGGGGGGGGGGGGGGGGGGGCGCGGATTTGGGGGCCCCCCCCGAGGCCGGGGGGGGGCTGGGGCCCCCCCCCCCCCCCCCCCCCCATCCGACCGCGCCGCCGTGTGACGAGGGCCCCTCCTCTCCGCTGCGGTGAGGGGGAGATCTCAGGCGAAGAAGAAGTGACTTGAGCCTCCCTCCCAGGGGCCGAGAAGATCTGCCACAACAGAAGTAATAATAAAAAAGAAACAATGCCCGCGCGCCGTGAGGGATTCCAAGATGGGGAGGGATTTTCACTGGAGGCCAGATTTTCGGGGAATGCCCGGGTAAAAGGGCGCTCCTGAAAATTTGACAGCGTCGATTGCCCCCGGGCGGGGCCGGTTGGTCCTCCTCGTTGAGTCCTGGCGCCGGCGCTCCCGCCATTGGCCCTAGGGCAATTAAAGAATTTCTCCGCCGAAGCGGGGGCAAAGGGTGTTGGCTGCAGCGGGTGCCCGTGCGCACATACGGCTGCCCGTTTGCGAGTGCGCCCTTTCTTTTTTTTTCGTCGGCTCGAGAACGCGGGAGGCTCGACGATTGCGGTTTTGTGGGCGCCGGGTGTCGTTGTCGTCCAAGGGCAGGGCGGCAGATGACTCGCGCCGGGCCAGCCGTCTCCGGAGCCGGGAACGGGGAATGGCGGCAGGCGAGGGGACGCCAACGATCGACCCGTTCGCTCGAGAGACGGGGGGCGGGAGGGGGCGGCTAACGGCCGGGCCGTGTGCGTTGGTTGGTGCCTCTCTCCCCCGGGCAGACACGTCTCGGCTTGCCTGCGGCTCGGCACGCACGCACATTGCCCGGACAACAGCGACTCTCTGCCCGGAGACCGGAACGTGTCAAGGCGGACACCGGGCGAGTCCGGCCTGGCCAGCCACAAGGGAGCAAGGAGGAGGGTTGTGTGCGGTCGCGTCGATGCCCCCCCCCCCCCCCCACACACACGCACACTTGAGACGCCCGCCCCCCTCGGCCATTCCCCCCTTTCCCCGCCCTCGCGCAGCCTACGCTACTGGCCGCACCGCGACCGACGCCCGGTCTTTCGCCCCCTCGCCGCGCAGGTTGACAAGTGGCCGCGGTTCCGGTTGGCTGGCCGCGGCACCCCCTACTCTTCTCCGGCCCTATCTCTCCTTTCCCGTCTTTTCCCCCCCTTTCTTCTCCTCTTCCTGCCCCTTCCCTCCCCGGCCCTGGCCCCCCCCCCCCCTCCCCTCCCGTCCCCTCTGAGTCGTGCGTGTCTGTCCCGGTCCGGCTCTCACTCTCGGTCTCGACCCCTCTTCTTGCGCTGCCTTCATTCGCCTCCCCTCGCAACTGTTGATCCGTTGTTGGCACCTGTCCTTTCGGCCTGTCTTATTTCTCTCTCTCTCTCACACACACACACACGCGTGCGCACGAACACTCCTCCCAAACAAAGGGCCAGTCTCCCCCTTTCCCGGTCGCCCGCCCCCCTCCCCGCCCGCCCCCCTCCCCGCCCCCCCGCCCGCCCGCCCGATGGTTGCCCACGCTTCCCTCGGCGAGCCTCTCCCCATGAGTGTGGCCACCGGAGGGGAGGACTTTGCCGGGGGCGCACGCGCTCTCCTGCCTGCCCTCGGCTCGGCCGCCGGGAGCCTACCCGATGACGAGCAGGCCGCCGCCGGTCGCCCGGATACCACCGACCCCTCACTCTCGGCACAGAAGCGCAAAGGCCGGGCCCTGGTATGATGCTTCATCGGAGGGACTCCTCGCTCCTCGCCTTTCCCCTGCGTCGGCCATTTGCTCAACGCCTAACCCCCCCTCCTCTCTCCCCGCCTCGTGCTGGCAGATGATGAATCGTCTTGCGCGGCTGCGCAGCGCGCCAGCCGCCTCTGAGCCCGCTGCCGAGCCCGCCTCCGAGCCCGGCCCGGTGCCTGCCTCTGCACCCGTCCCGGAGCCTGTCTCCGAGCCTGTCTCCGAGCCTGTCCCCGAGGCCGCCCCGGCTGTCTCCTCGGCGGTGGTCGTGCCGGAGCCCCCTGCCGAAGTCCCCCTCCCGGCGGCCATTCCGGAGCCGGTGGCCGGGTCGGCCGCCCATGCCCAGCCGGTCCCTGCTTCTGGGTCTCTGCCCGAGCCGGTCCCTGCTCAGGTGGTTTCTCCGCCTCCGGCGACCACTTCGGCGCCGGATGCCTCGTCGCTCTTTGCCGGGTCCGTCCCGGCGCCGGATGCCTCATCGCTTTTCGCCATGTCTGCTCCGGGTCTGGAGGCGTCAGCATTGTTTGGTGCCCCCGCCGTCGCCACCGCCGCCGGGGCCGCTGTCTCGCCGCCCTCTGCTCCGCCGGCCGTCGGTTTCCCCGGGGCGGCCCAGCCACTGTCACAGCCACTGTCGCAGCCGCAGCCGCAGCCGCAGCCGGTCACCGACTTTTCTCAGCTCTTCTTCCCGCTCCCCATTGCTGAAGGGACAACCCCCCCGGCCCCGGGGCCCGTCACCTTCCAGCCCACCCCGGACACCTTCCACTCAAGCCCGGCCCCGGCCGCAAATGGTATGGCCCCCTCTCGGCAAGACCCCCCCCCCCCTTCCCATTCTCCTGTGTCGCCTCTCTGACCATGGCTCATCGCGGCCCCCTTTCCCTGTTGTTCCCTCCCCTCCTGCAGCTCCCACCACCGAGCAGGAGGAGGAGTCCGCCTGGCCGAGCATCCTCCAGCCGGTGCAGGCCCCCTTGGAGGCATCGGCCTCCTCCATGACCGTGACCGATGCCCCGCCGGCCGTGTCGCCACAGCAATTGGCCCACCCACCGCATGCCACGCCGCCCCAGCAGCAGGTGGACATCTCGCACTTCTTCCTGACGCCCGTATCTCCCGGGAGTACGGCCGCCCCGTCGGCTACCACCACAGCCACGGCCTCGAATGTTCTCTGGCCACTGTCGGAGCCGGAGCCGGAGCCGGAGCCGGAGCCGGAGCCGGAGCCGGCACCGGGGCCAGAGCCGCAGCTCGAGCCACAGCCGGTCGCCGTTCCCCCGGTCCCAGCTCCCACTTCGGGCCTCGAGCCGGCCGCCGTCAGCTCGCCAAAGAGTACTGGCGGCTCAGCCCAGTGGCGGCCGATCGGCGGCCTGGACATGGCCGGCTTCCCCGAGGCCGAGCCCTTCTTGGAGCCTTTCGCTCGGTCCATCGTCGAGCCTCATGCCGAGCCGCATGCCGAGCCCCCGCCGCCCGGGCCTGCCATCGAGCCGGCCCTTGAGCCTATGCTGGCCCCGGCCCCGGCCCCGGCCCCGGCCCCGGCCCCGACGTCGGACGCGGCACAGGCCGCTCTTTTTGCCACGGCCGCCGTCAGCGGGCTTGCTCTGGGACCGGAGCCGGTGCTCGGCCTCGATCATGGCCAGGCTCCTGGCCAGGCCCAGGCCCATGGGTCTGCGCAGCACCCGGCCCTTGTGACCCCGACGGCGGGCGATCCCTCGGCAGCGGCGGCGGCGGCGGCGGCGGCGGCGGCGGCCACGGCCGAGGTCTCCATCAGTAGCCAGGCCACCGAGCTCCTCAAGTGGGTGGCCAATTTGAACACCCTGTTGGACCAGCACTCGCTGGCCGGCGCGGATGAGCCGGCCCCCGTGGCCCAGCATCCCCACCCGCCGGCCCTCGAGCCGGCGATCGACCAGCCAGCGGCTTCGCAGGGGTACGCCCCGGCCGAGGACCCGGCCGAGCCGGCTGAGCTCTCGGCGGCCAATGCGCTGACCGCGCTGTACGGGGCGCTGGAGCACCACCTGCCGCAGATCCTGACCGAGCGTCAGCAACTGCGTGACGAGCTGGTTGCCATGCATGCGGCGCTGGTGGACCTGCGCGCGCAGCAGGCCACCACCGAGCGCGAGCTGGCCGAGTGCCTGGACCAGCGGGCCGCCCTGGAGGCGGAGCTGGCCACCAGCAGCCAGCAGAGCCAGCAGCAGGTGGCCCGGCAGCAGGAGCTCCTGGCCCGGCTGGCCGGCAATGAGGAGGCCCTGCGCGCGGCGCGCGATGCCCTCGGCGCGGAGCATGCCCATGTGGAGCTCCTGACGGGCAAACTCCTGCAGGCTACCGAGCAATTGGCCAGCCTGAAGGCCGAGGCGGACTTGGCGGCGGCGGCGCGTGCGGCCGAGGCCGAGGCCGAGGCCGCCGACCGGGCCCTGGACCCGGATGAGGCGGCCGATCATCCGTATGCCGGGCTCTCGGCGCGGGCCCTGCGAGACATTGCCCACTCCCTGCGGCTGGAGTTGGAGGATGCCGAGGCTCGCCTGGCCGAGGCTCGGGCCGATGCCGGGCTGGCGACCGAGTCGCTGGCGGCCTCGGTGCGCGAGGTCCAGGCACTGAAGGAGTCCCTCCAGGCGGAGGGGGCGTCGCGGCAGGCGCTGCAAGCCCGGGCCACCGGGCTGCAGGAGCGCGTGGCCCAGCTGGAGGCCCAGGCGGCGGCCATGAAGGAGGTCGAGCAGCGGACCCCCTCGCTGGCCCTCTGCCGGACACGCATCAAAGCCCTGTCCGATGAGAATACCCTTCTCCGGGCGCAGGTGGCCGACTTCGAGAAGTCGGGCCTGACTCCGGCCTCGCAGTCGGCCGCCGAGCACCAGGCCCGGCGGGATTGGGCCTTCCAGTCGCAGATCGACATGCTGACGCAGGCATTGCACAGCCAGCGCCAGTTGAATCGCACCCTGCGCGAGCAGTCGGCCTCCTACACGGCGGAGATCCGCCGGCTTCACGATGGCCAGAGCGCTCTCTTTGGGCAGCTGGCCGCCGAGAATGCCCGTCGCGGGATGGCGGACATGTCTTCCGAGGGGGACGCCCGGGCGGCCGCCTGGATCAGTCTCCCCTCGAAGCGCCTGTTGGGCCGGTGCGCGGCCTTGCAAGATCGCGTTGGGCAGCTCACGGCCGAGGGGACCGCCGCCACCGGGCGCATCGCCGATCTGGAGGAGGCCCTAGCCGGGGCCAATGAGGCGCTGGCCGCCGCGCAGGCCGACCTGCAGGCCCTGCGCACCGCGGCCGACACGCACCAGCTGACTGTCGGGAATCTGAACCAGCGGCTGGCCAGCCTGCTGGCGCACTCGGAGGCGCTGAACTTGCGCCTGGCCGAGCGGGACGCCGAGAATGCGGCCGCCCTGCGCCGGGCGGCCGACCTGGAGCGCCAGCTCTTTGCCCTGCGCACTGAGCGCCAGGCCGAGCGCGAGGCGGCGGCCGCCACCGCCAGCAGCCTCGCCGATGACCGGGCCGCCGCGCAGGCCGAGCTCCATCGCGCGCGTCTGGCCCTTGGCGCCTCGCAGCAGCAGCTGGAGGCCGCGGTGGCCCGGGGCCGGGCAGCCCAGCAGCGGGCCAACCGGTATGTGGCCTCGGACCGGGCCCTGCGCCGGGCCTTGAACCTGCCGTCCGATGATGAGGCCGACCATTTGGGCAGTGGTCTGCCTGGTGCCGGGGCACCGGATGACAGCACGGCATCGGCCTCGCCGGCGTCCTCCGGCGGGGCGGCGTCGCCCCTGTCCGAGCAGGACCTGGCCGACTTGCTGCTGTCCGGGGCCACGCCGGACGCGGCCGCCATCAAGCCCGGCACGGCTCTGACCCCGGAGCAGGAACGCCTGCTGGCCAGTGTCGCCCGGGTCCGGCAGCTGCAGGCGTCGCATCGGCGGGCGCTGGCCGAGCAGGAGCGCCTGCAGGCCAGCAATGCCGACCTCCAGGCCAGCCTGGACCGTGGCACCTCCGAGGCCACGCGCCTGCGCGCCCGCCTGGACCAGGCACACGAGACCACCCGGCGCCTGGAGGCCGATCTGGCCGCCGCCAATGAGCAGGTCGCCACGCTCGACGCGCAGGTGGCCCAACTGGGCGAGCGGAATGCCGGGTTGACGGCGCAGGTGGCCGCCGCCGGGATTGCCCAGCAGCGCCTGGTCCAGGACCGGGCTCGGCTGCTGCAGCATGTCCGCCGGCTGACGGCCCATCGGCACCGCACGTTGGAGGATTTGACCGGCGTCCTGGAGGCCATGGACCGGATGGTGGCCTATTCGGACGACCTGGGCCGGACGTCGGACCAGCGGGAGTCCTTCGTGCTGGAGTCCTCCTTCGACCGGTGCATCCGCTCGCTCAATGCCATCCTCGACATGCAGATGGCCTTCCTCGACCGGGAGATCGATTCCCAACGGAGCAGCCTCGTTTCCGGGGCCTCGGATGTGGGGGCAATGGGTCTGGGGCCGACGGCTTCCGGGGGCGGCATGCCCGCGGCGCCGGACACCCCGACTGCCCACCTGGACCTGATGGCCCTGGCCCAGCAGGCCGGCCTGATGGAGGACTTGGTCTTTGATGCGGGCTCGGCCGGCGCCCCGGCGGCTGGCCTGTCCCCGGCTCGCGGCAAGCAGTCCGACGTGGAGGCCGACGCCCGGGCCGTGGCCCAGCTCCGCCAGCGTCTTGCCAATGTTGGCCATGTGTCACCGACCACCGCCGGCCGGAGCCAAGCCGCCGCCCCGGGCCACGCCACCAACCCGGCCTACCTGGGCGAGTCGTCGGCAGCCGGCTTCCTGTCTGCCATGCACCAGGCGGACAGCCTCCTGTCAGCGGAGCTTCCCCCGATGGCTGGCAGCAGCCGGCCGAACGGGGCGCAGTCGCATTTTCATGAGGGCCCGGCGTCTCCCCCTCGACATGTGACTCCACCCACTGAAGTGAAGGGCCCTACCTTTGTCGACATCCCCACCCCGCCGGCCGCGATGACCGGCCTGCCGGGTGACAGCCCGGCCGGCACCGTGGCCGAGCCGCCCCCCCCGGGCGAGGCTCCGGCCGGTGTCCCGGTGCCCCGGGCCGCCCCGGTCGAGGAGGACCGCTCTCGGAAGGGGGTGGCTCCCCCTGCCCCGACGACCGGGGGGGGCCCCGGTCTTCCGATTGCCATGGCCACTGCTGCCCCGGTCGGGGTGGCGTCTCCGCCTCCGGCCGTGACCACCAGCCTCGGCGGCCGGACGACCGTTGTTCTGGACCATGCGGTGGCCGCCTCGGATCCGCTGGTCCTGCGGCTCCCGGTCGCCAGCAGCACCAAGCCGGTCAGCCCGCCGCCGGTGGTCTTCTTTTCGGATGCGCCGGTTCGCACGCCGGACTTCGCCCCGTTGGCTGGCGGCGCGTCGGTGGATGCCACCACCCTCAGCAGCCCCTCGGAGTCGGGCATGGTGACCGCGCGCGAGTCGGCCGCCTCCTCGCCCGGGCTGAGTGTGGCCCCGGCGCCCATGGGCCCGGCCAAGCCCCCCCCGGCCGAGGACCCCCTGTCCAAGTGGGCCGAGTCGGAGGAGGACACCGGCTTCGGCTCCTCGGCCGGCCTCCGGAGCATCGGCCCGGGCGCCTCCGCCGGGGCCCCGGCGATCGATCCGCTTGCCAAGTGGGTGGAGGAGTCCGACGGGGAGGAGCAGGAGGAGGATTTCCTCCCCCGGGGACCGGCCCCAACGGCGGCGGCGGCGGCGGCGGCGGCCCCGGCATCGGCCGACCCGCTGGCCAAGTGGGTCGAGTCTGACGAGGAGGAGCAGGAGCATGGTGGGGCTGCCGCCCGGCCCGCGGTCCGGATGACCACCTTCCCGGCCCCGGCGGCGGGGATGCCCCCCATGGCGGGGGCCGCCTCCGGCAAGCAGCCAGTCGATCCCCTGGCCAAGTGGGTGGACTCCGAGGAGGAGGAGGACGGGCATGTGGATCTGGACTTCGATGGGGCCCCGGCCATCGGGGCTCGGCGGAACTTTTCCCAGCTCGGCCTGGTTTTGCCCGGGGCCTTGGCGGCTCGCCCGACCGGGGTGGCCTCCTTGCCGAAGGCCGCCGGCGGTCGTCCGACCCTCATCAGCTTGGATAACATGCACCTGGTCACGGGCCTCGGCCAGCGATCTGCGGACGAGTCGCTCGTCGGGCGATCGGCCTCTTCGCCGCCTCCGGAGGCCCAGCAGCCCCCGGTGAAAATCCCGCGCACGGACACGTCCGGTAGCCGTGGCGGCGGCGGCGGCGGCGATGATGACTGGGAATCCGCCTTCGAAGAGGATCTGGATCCGTCCTTCGCGCTGAGCCGCTTTGGCGCGTCGACCATCAAGTTCTCCACCTCGGCCGCCGCGTCGCCGATGGTTTCGGCCTCGCTGGCTGGGGGGACCACCTCGCCGGGGCTCGGCCATGGCATGGGGTCTGCCTCGTCACAGGGCGGCAGCGCGCCCGGCAGCAGCGGTAGTACCCCCTCCGGACGCGGGCAGGTGATTGCCCTGAGCCAAGTGCGCGCGGCGTCGGCGCGCGGCGGCGCCACCTCGGAGAGCATTCTGCAGCAGCACCAGGAGGAGGAGGAGGATTACGATTTCGACCTGCCGGCCGGTGACGGGCGCCTGGTTTTGACCGCCTCCGATGTTCGGACCGCCCAGCACTCGGGGGCCGGTGCCAGTGGCGACCATCGGCTGGTGATGGATCCGACCGGCGGTTCGGCCGTCGGCACCGGGCTGGCCCGCACCCAGAAGCCGCCTCTTCCCCCCGGAGCGGGGGTCCGGCCTGGCGGGTCGCATGCCGGGGGGTCGGCCTCGTCCGCGCTGCTTGCGCAGACCATGACCATTGGCCGGACCCTGGGCCGGAGCATGTCCTCCGGGACCAGCGGGGCCGGGCCTTCGGGCGGCGGCGCGGCCCGCGGAGGCAGCATGCGTCTGAATTTCACCGAAAACAAGACCTGGTCGCGTGGGCAGCTGAAGAACGCCATCCTCGGCGAGGCGTCCCTCAAGAATGAGGCGGATTCCTGGCTGCAATTTGACAACCCCACGGGCGAGGTGGAAACCGAGGCCAGCCCATTGCTGGCGCCGATGTCCGCGGCCGGGGCTGCTCCCTCCCCTCGGCTGGACCAGTGGCAGGAGTCCGAGGCTGACAGCCGGGATTGGGGCTCGCACTGGGGCGGTGGCTCGGCCAGCGGTGGGGACTTCAGCGATTCGTCGTTCCTGTTCACGCCGCGCGAGGTCCCCTTGTCGGGTCCTGCCCCGGGGGCGGGGGGCCCCGCTGCGGGGCCGGCCCCGGCGACTACCGCCAGCTTTGGCAGCATGCCCGAGGCCCTGGAGTCCGAGCAGTCTGAGCCGGAGCAGCAGGCGACCTTCGGCCGGCGGGCGTCCCGGCGTGCGCGCAGCCTCTCCGGCAACGGGGTCTTCCCCGGGCCGGCTGCCGCCGGTGGCTCCGGGTCGATTCCCTCTTCAGACACCGAAGTGGCCCCGAGCACCCCGGCGCGGGGCCCGGCCCCTGTTGCCGATCCGCTGCCGACGGCCGAGCATCCCACCGATCCGGATCGCAGCCCGGCGGCCATTCGCCTGCTGTCGCTCTTCTCGCCGCCGGCTCCGGCTGCGGCCCAGGCTGCGGCCCCGGTTGCCGCTCAGCCGGCTGCCGCCTCGCCCTCGGCCGAGGGCCTGGCTCCCCGGCCGCCCTCGCCGCCACCCTCGTATGAGGAGCTGGCTGCTGCGACGGCCCCTCTTGCCGAGGAGCAGCAGCCCGTGCCGATGGTGGCGCCCATGTCGCGCACGTATTCGGCCGCGCCGCCACCCCTGCCGGGAGCCGCCGCGACCGCGGCCACCCATTCGGCCCCCCCTCCTGGCGGCCCGGCCCTGCCGCAGCCGGTGCATCTTCACGCCCAGCAGCAGGCCCCCCTGTCCGGGCGTATGGCCCCGCAGGTCTTCGACCTCGGCAACCTGGCCAGCATTCCCACCCCCTCGCTGTTCATTCCCCAGCCGCCGGGGCTCGGAGCGCCTGGGGCCGGGGCCCCGCTCTTCCATCCCGGTGGCGCCGGCGGCGCCGGGCCCACCATGATGGTGCCTCCTTCTCCCTTCGGCGGCGCCCCCGGTGCCGGGCTTCTTCCTGGCTCCATGGATCACCATCGCATTGGCGCTGGCACCGGCCTCGACACAGGGGCCTTCTCAGATAGCGACTTCGTGTCGGCCGACGACGGCAGCGACATGGACGCCTTCTAGTTGCGAGCTGCCGCGATGGCGGGTCTCCCTTTCCTTGGTGAGGCCTGTGCCCTTTCTCTTTCAAATACACCCACACACCCACACATACATACACTCCCCGCCAGCGGCGGATAGATGGATCCATTCTTTTTTGTCCTTTTTTTCCCCGTGCATGCTTCCATACCCCGACAAGCCTATCATGTCACTTGCGAGTGGGGCTTGCGTGTATGTCCCCTCTTGCCGTATACTCTGACCTTTCTCTCCCTTCCACGCACACCCACACACACACACACACACACACACACACACACACACACACACACACACACACACATCTCGCTCCCGGCCCGCGTGGCATGGCCGCATTCGTGCGGTGGCTGCGGGCGTCGATTGTGGGCCACGGAGAGGACACAGTCAGAGGAACAGCCTTGGCCGGCTGATCTGCCCAGATCATGCCATGGCCGAATGGCATTTCCAAATCGCGACATTGCTCCTCACGACTATTGCACACCGACGCGCTCTCTTGCGCGCCCCCTTGAAAGAGGGCGAGGGATCGAACGCCACCGGGCGCATTTCTGCGCACGCCTGGCCTGATCGGCTGCTCTTTTTTTTTCCTCCCTAGCCCTCTCTTTTCCGGGCCATCCATCCTCGGGACACGGGGCGGCGCAGCAATACTTGTGCACATGCCAGGCCGCACGCCAAGCTGGCCGGGGAATGCGGCCTGAAGCCGGTCTCCCCCAAGTGAAGGTGCCCGGGCGGGAGCCAGCGGAAAGCATGCACATATGAGCATTATGTGTGCACATACGAACATCAGAGCGTACTGTGCGTGCCTGTGGATGCCCGCGGGGGGGGGGGGGGGGGGGGCGACGACTGTGGCGCCCCTCCAGGCTGCGAGTGTATCCCGGCGCGTGAAAGTCCGGTCTATGTGGGTCTTTCCTAGCCCCGAAGAGCATGTCCCCCCGCCCTCTCGCGCGCAGACACACTCTCGCTTCCTGGCCAGCGGGCCGGCAGGCCCCTCCCAGGGCGTGGGGGGGGGGGGTGCACACCCGCACGCGCACCACGCCGGCCGGGGAGTACATGTGTGTCTGCTCCGGGGCCCAGCTGACGGCGGGGCAGTTGCCCTCCTCTCGGCTCTTTTTTGGGGACCGCCCCGCGCCGCCCTGGCCAGACCCGTTACCCGCGGGCGTCGTGCCGGACACGCACATGTCCGGGACCCGGGGGGGGGGGGGGAGTGCAAGCATGGCGGAGGCTGAAAGGGCGACCCCGCCACCCACGCGGCGCCATATGCATGTGTCCGGCTCGCGCCGAGCAGCCAGCAGCCGGTTCGCCGCGCCTCAGGCCGCGCCGCGGCGGTCCATACGACAAGGGCCCCAAAGGCTGATCGGCGGATGGGCAAGCCACAAGGGGGGGAGGGGGGAGGGGGGAGGCAGCACGAATGTGGGAAGCTCATATGAAATTCGATCGCGATCGGCCTCCCGGCCGCACGACGCCCGGCCACACCTTGTGGCATAGGTCGGGCCCCCCGCCCCCCCCCCCCCGCACGTCTACCCGCTGCCATACGGCCGGCTGTCTCTTTCTTCCTCTGTCTCAAGCTTGCCGCCGCGTCCCGGCCATGGGAGTGCAGGCGGCTCCCGTCCCATGTTTGCGCCCCCTCTGTCCCAGAGGCGGGGGGAGCATGGGCCTGCCCGCGCAGGGGTGCCACAGGACAGGACAAGACACGGCTATCCCCCGAACCCCCCTGCCGACGATGGCCCCAGCCACCTATTCTCCGGTCCGGCCGCCCCCCGGTTCGGGCGGTGAGAGTGTGTGGGGCCTGCCAGGTGCTCCGTCGTCCCTCTCCCCCCAGCTGGCCCCACCTCCCCAAAGGTCATCCCCCACCCCCGCCCCCCACCCACGATCCGGGCTTTTTCGTGGGTGTTTCACCCCCCCCCCCCCCCCCCCCCCCCCCCCCCCCCCCCCCCCCCCCCCCCCCCCCCCCCCCCCCCCCCCCCCCCCCCCCCATGTGACGGTGGTCCTGCGTGTGTTGCAGTTGGCTCCCTCCCATCATCATCGACCCTTTTTTCCCGTTTCGAAATATACCCTTTGTGTCGTCCCTCTCTTTCCCATGTGTGTGTGTGTGTGCCTGTGATTTTGGGCTTTTTCCCTTTTCAAACCTGTGTTTCACCCCCCCCCCCCCTGGTGGACGAGGGAGGCGGCGGGATGCCGCTCTCTCTTGGTGGGGGAGCCCCGCGATTCGGGTGTCTGAATCTCACTGCGCCCGGGGGGGGGGGGGGGGGGCTTGGTCTTCCCCTTGCCATGGCAGACCCCGAGGGCCCTCTTTCCTTTGGGGCCGTGATGCCCCCCCCCTCTCTTGGCCATCCTTTTGTCTCATGTGTTGTATGAGCGTCTTTTTTTTCCCCAATCGCCGACGAGGATCCTGAAAGTGCTTCGGGCCTGGCAGGGAATTCCCATGGACCGGTGGTCGACCTTGGCAGCAGCAGCCTTCCATCCCGAGGTGCGACACCATGCGGGTACCGAGCAGCAGCAGGAGGGAGAAAAAAGAAAGCTGG